GTAAGGTCAAACCACGCAACAATTGAATATTAACAATAATTTAACTCAATCTGATCAAAAAGTTGCTATGGCTTTTGGGAAACAATTTACTGATGTTCCTTTTCTGACAACAAAATCACTAAATTCTTCTACTACTGTCGCCGAGTCATTGCTTAAACAAAATGTAAAGCCTTGTTCAAATACTTTCAAATTCCATAGAATATTGCCAAAAATATCGTTAAATATTTTAAAGCTATGTTTTATGATGTTAAGAATTGTTATATTAAGAAGATTTCCGTTAAAGTTATTTATTGCATCTATGATAGATATCTCCTTTCGTGTAGTTTCAACATAATTGGTTCAGTCTTTTCGAAGATTAGCCTGGACAGGGCAGACAGGTATATTACAGAAGATACAAAAAAGTATAATATAGATTAAAACGTGTTTAGTCATTAATTCAATACTAACGTTGTATATGAACATGCTTAGCACCCAAGAAGCTGTCAACCTTGAACGCCAATGAATGCAAGGTTGACATTAAACGCCGTTTGTACCAGACAGACATTTATGTTTTGGTAAGATATCACAAATTTCTGACAACAGTTTTTATTCCTTTTTAATTTCAAATATAATAATCTAATAAAAAATCAAGAAATGGTATGGTGGTTTTATAGCCAGTACTAAAAACTAATTGCTCCAATAACTTTGAAGATACTATCAATAATTTGGAGTTACCAGATTATTTTCCTTTTTATTGATGAATGCAAGGTGATATGCAATATATGCAAGTAAATGCAGTATGTACAAGGTACCTTGATGTTAATTTCAAGTTTCGCAGAAGAAGTTTGCATATCTCTTTAACATCCTTTCCTATAAATTAAATTTCTGATTTCCAAACATACGCCGTACCGTTAGGTTCCTTCTTGTAGTGTGTTTTTGTAACTTTCTCAAGCTATATCTCTATACTAGACTACACATATGTGATTGTCCAAATTTTCAGGAATGTCTTAAACACTCCATTATTACGATACTCCTATACTTACTTTTTTATATAGAATAAGTGTAAGAAAATGAGCACATTGTCCAGCTTATGGTAAATTGATGGAGTGGCCCGTGAACATCTACAAATACTTTTTTGTGGTACCTCATTTACAGAACAATACGCAGTGCTTTCCTTCACTTTTTCGCCAACGTGGTTATATTCTGGTTAGAAAACCGGTGGCAATATAACTTAGTCGTTTATGAATGATTTAAAATACCCATACTGCCAACGAAATTTCGTACCGTCATATGTGCGTACCGTAAGATGGACACCATTTCCAGCATATTAAGGGTTAATGAAGGTGAAAAGAGCCCCATGTAATGGCAGGTGTGTGTATGGGGTAGGGGGAATATCTTTCCGTGGGTGTCGTCAAGAGCGACAGAGGGAAACTGAGACAGAAAATGGGTAGCAGCATCTTTCTGATAACAGCAAATTACAAAAAAAACGGCGGTTTCCAACCCGCTCTGGGCGAGCGGGTTGGAAACCGCCGTTTTTTTTGTGTGGCAACTATGGCAATATATCCCCCATGACGAAAGTTACAAAAAGACGGCTCCCAGTCCCCGGCGGCCCCGTTATTCCTAGCTACGGTGGCGACCATGGTAACGGCGGGGCAGGGGGCCCTAAGAATCTCCGGTGGAGGTTCGGTTGCCACCTAAGACGACTCGACCTGGCAACATACAATGCACGCACCCTGAGGACTGACGAGAAGATCGTGGAGCTGGAAGACGAGATAGACAAGTTGCGCTGGGACATAGGATTATATGAGGTCCAAAGAGACGGGGAGAACACGGTAATCCTCGAATTCGGCAACAGAAACAGAAAAAGAAACCTTTTTATTCAATATAGATTATAAATAATACTTATTGAAAGTCACTCTTTTGTTTAATTACCACTGGTTCGAAAAAAAACCTCTATCTGTGTGTCTCTGTCTGTGTCTGTGAAACTTGTTCTATCACCGTCCACAAGTCTCTCGTTAACAAAGTTGTAGATTGAGAGTGCGTCGACGAGGATTGCGTACCTTATACTCAGAATCACCAAACGGTATTCGCTGAAGATGATACAGGTTTACGGACCAACCTAGGCACATCCCGATGGGGAGGTGGAGGAAATGTATGAGGATATCTCTAATGCCATGCGTTCCTCCAAAATCCATTATACGGTCTTAATGACTTCAACGCAAAATTAGACATAAGAGAGAACGGTGAGCTGAGGGTAGGGAAATTTGGAATAGAACAACGGAACTCAAGGGGCCAGCAGCTGGCCGACTTCATGGAGAAAGAGGGACTCTTTATGATGAACTATATCTTTCAGAAGCGGCCCCACAGGAAGTGGACCTGGTTGAGCTCCAACGGTTTGACAAAAATGATATTGACTTCATTATGACGACTAGACGGCAAATGTTCAGTGATGTCTCAGTGATCGCGAGGGTGAAAACTGGTAGCGATCATCGAATGCTTAGAGGCACATGTTAAGTTGAAAAGGTATCGTCTAATGAAGTCAACGCTCCGTCCCTCTCGTTCTCTAACCTAGAGTCCCACAACCTTTCAGTTCGAGTTACAAAACAGTTTTTAGTGCCTAAAAGATTGTAACGCAGTGAACGATATCAATGACAAGCTCGTGGTAACTATCCATACGGCCGGAGCTAAGTTTTGCAAGACCCGCCGCAGAAGAATACAAAAACTCTCCGATAACACCCTTTATCTCATGGCTATTAGATGGGAGATGAAGCTGCAGTAATCAGCAGATTTGACAGAATACAGGCAACTGAATAGACAAATCTTCAATTGCATGCGGCGGGACTTGCGCAACTTCAGTATAGCTTATATTGAAGAAGCTATCGAGCGGAACCAGGGCTCCAAAGTCTTTGCTAGAGATCTGTCTGGCAGAAAGAGCCAACTGTCGAAGCTACAGATCGAATGTGCCAGCATCCTTTCCGGGACACCTGAGATTTTGAGTGAGATTGAGAGGTTCTATGGGCAGCTGTATACATCATCATTGGAGCCACATGCAAGAGTGAGTAATGATCCAAGTGAAAGTCTTATCAGACAATATTCCGATCATATCCCGAACCTCAGTTTGAGCGAAATTAGAATGGCTCTTCAGCACCTTAAAACGACAAGTGCCCGGGTGAGGATGGAATTGTAGCGGAGCTTCTTAAAGCGGGTGGAAAACCGGTACTTAAAGTCCTTCAGAAGTTCTATAATTTCGTCCTCCACTACTCCGGAGGCGTGAAGCAGAAGTGCGGTGGTCATGTTCTTCAAGAAAGGTGACAATGCTCTCCTGAAGAACTACAGATTGATTTCCCTTATGAGTCGCATCTACTTGCTGTTTTTGAGAGTCATTGCGAATCGTCTCGCACGCAGACTCGATGACATCCAGCCTCCCGAAGAAACCAGTTTCCGAAAAAGCTTTAGGATGATAGACCACATACATACCATTCGGCAAATTGTACAGAAGACCTAGGAGTACAATTTGCCACTATGTCTTGCGTATATGGACTAGAAGAAAGCTTTTGATTCTAGCGAAATTTGGGCAGTGCTGCAGTCCCTTCGGTGGTGTCAAGTTAACTGTCAGTATATCGAAGTGGTGAAGTGTTTGTACAGTAGGGCTACGATGGCTATCCGAGTACTGAACCAGAATACGAAACCTATCCAACTGCAGAGAGCTGTAAGACAGTTATATCCCCGAAACTCTTCACCGCTGCATTGGAAGACGTTTTCAAGCTACTGGACTGGAAAGGATGCGGTATTAACATCAATGGCGAGTACATTACTCACCTTCGATTTGCCGACGATATAGTCCTTGTCACTGGAGAACCTAAGCACTATGCTCAATGACCTCAATAGTGTCTCCCAATGGATAGGTCTTAATATGAACATGGACAAAACAAAGATAATGTTTAATGCCCATGTTACACCTATGCCGGTAGTTGTTGGGAGCACTAAGCTCGAAGTTGGTGACGAGTATGTTTACCTGGGACAAATAGTCCGACTAGGTAAGTCCAACTTCGACCGAGAGGTCAATTGACGGATTCAACGCGGCTGGGCAGCGTTTGGGAGATTACGACACATCTTCTCGTCAGGTATACCTTAAAGCTTATAGACAGGGGTGTACAACCAATGCGTGTTGCTAGTGATAACTTATGGAACTGAGGCTTCACTGCTGGCCGTATGAGGAAGTTCTAGGTCGCTCAGCGAGCTATGAGGAGGGCTGTGCTCGGAGTTTCTCTGCGTCATAAACTTAGAAATGAGGATATCCGCAGTAGAATCAGAGTGACCGACATAGCCCAACGGATTAGTAAGTGAAGTGATGTGAAGTGGCAATGGGCCGGCCATATAGCTCTAAGAACCGATAACCGATGGGGAAAAAAGTTCTCGAGTGGCGGCCTCGTATCGGTAGACGAAATGTAGGGCGACCCTCCACTAGATGGAGTGACGACCTGTTAAGACATGCAGGAAGTCGATGGATGCAGGTGGCTCAGGGCCATGCTTTGTGGCATTCCTTGGGAGAGGCCTATGTTCAGCAGTGGACTTGTGAAGAGCTGTAATGATGATGAAGATGAAAACAGCTGCCCGACCCTCTGTCATGAATGTGAGGAAATAAAGTATTCACTATACTCCTAGAGACAGATAATATATACCTGTTTTGTAAAATTGGCCTTCAACTTCCTCAACCTTCACTAGATGTCTATTTTTTGTTACAATTTGTAACATTTTTTAGTAAATAGAATGATTGAATTCGTGTTCTTATAATAAAATTTCACGATTGTCATTTATATTTTTTTCGTCTTTATAACATTACAATAAATCTATTGAAATCTCTCAATAAAAGATAACACATATACCTTAATATTTCACTTTTATTCAAATATAATTATTAACTTAAATTAGAAAATATGCGATAAATGGTTTTTAATTAAATTGACTTATAAGTTTTTTTTTAATTATTTCATAAATCTACTTAATTTTAAAATACTTACGATAGTCTTTAATCTCAAAATGATTTTGTTTTTTCACCCACTCATGTAATATGTCGATAGCGTGATTCATACTTCCTGGCTTATCCAAATTGCAATCCTTACGAATGGTTTGAAGTGTATCTTTATGGAACTCGAGCAGAGTGTTCACCGGTAACGAATCCATTTCAAACACCTGCTGAAATTAACAACCTGATCATTTGAGTCCCAAATAACTATTAAAGAAACTTTGCCTTTGTGAGAAATTATAAATGGAGGTAACTCAAACGCATGCGTAAATTATAGATATTATAAAATCTGCTTTACCAGAGTGATGATTACATAGATGAATCATAAAAAAATTGAGGCGTCAACAATGAATTACAAAACTTTATTAGGGTTGTACCGCTTCCATTACCTTACGAGTAGCTTCGTTGATTATGAAATCCAAAGTTATAAAGCAACACTATTTATTTGCTAAACAATATATAACTCTCTCGAAATGAATGAAGAACGATTGACGAAAAAAGTGTATAAGGCGAGTGTGAATGAAAGTGTTGGAAGGGTAGACCTAGGCGGACCTAAGAGTACCCTAAACCGAAGAGCATGTATGAGAAAATAATGAAAGTGGACGAAGCGAAACAAGTATGTAAGGATCGTAGCAAGTGGAAAGAAGTGGTCTCTGCCTACCCCTACGGTAACATCTATATAAATATAACTTTAAAGACTACGTTCTAGTTGTCATTCTTGAGTTTCTGTATTATCTACTGTACTAAAAAATTCAAATTATAAAAATTCAAAAACAATAAACGATTAAATAATTTCCACACAAAAGTAATTGGATAAATTACTACAGAGGGGCTCCATGGTCAGCTGTGGATATATTAGTACATACTGATTACGATAATGATGATGATATATATATTGTACATTTTCATTCTTATTTTTTAATCCTTAGAGAATAAATTTTTTCTTAAAATTCTAATGTGGCAACTTTTAAGTACCTATCGTCTTTTACGTATTTATCGTCTTTTAGGTATTTATTAAAAAAAAATAACGATTAACAGTAGGCGAAGATATGGCGTTACATAGATACAAAACTTACAGTCGAATTTAGAAGCTTACATATATTCTTGTATCATTGACAACCAATAAAAATAATTAAAAGTATTGATTTAAAATAACTTACGTGCATATAATTCGATAGCTATCTGAAGAATTATTTTATTTTGACTTAAAATATGTACACAATACACTAATAACTTTTAGAATTACCTAAAGAGATAAATGGCTACCGAAGAAACAAAGATATCTAAGCTTTTTTTATTTAGGCTATCGCCTGTCTTCGATTAAGTTAGGTAATATTTGATTCTTCATGCAAGTTTACGAGGTAAAAAAAAAAAACTAGATGAAACCTGTTACTAAAATAAATTATGTAACAAATTATGCGGATTACGTAGTTGGCCATTGGGATTTTTACCAATTTAGTTAATAAAACTACAAAAGACATTATCTTTTTTGGTCCAAATATGAAAGTGCCGGCCAATAAAAAAATATGCTGTATTCCGTTAGAACTTGTCCCCCTGAGTATTTATTATTATGACACCAAAGCTGTAGGGTCCATTGTCCTTGGTTTTATTGGAGTTCAAAAATTCAACATCTTCATACATTTTCAGTGAATTTAATAAACAAAAACAAATGATTTGTTCTACCATATTTTTATTTTGAACATCGTTTAGTAAAATATATTGGTTCTTGACCTATTTTGGACATGTTGATCTTGTTTTGTGTTTTTGAGGATTATAAGTAAAATATGTATACAGGGGTTATTTTGTTTAATTAAACACTATAAAATCATCATCGTTTGGTACAACAATAATGTTCTCCAATCCATAAGCTGGAGGGGTTATTGCTGGCAAATGTCGTGCATGGCTCATGTACCATATAATGCACATAATATGGGAGCAGCATCCAATTGTTCGCTTTCCTATGATGCACGAACAATAATAGTGAGCGATTGCTTGTCGGCCTGATAACAACCTATCTATTATAATGTAGACATAATACTGTCTTGCTCTAACATGCCGCGATTGCAGTCGGCCTCTTATCATCCACAAATCATTGCCCTGCAATTCCGCCAAGTCTTCATTTGATAACTCATTGCTGAGCTCAATTGTGAATGCTCCATTGTCAAGGACGTGCTCACCGTAATAGCTTTTGGCCTGTTTTAGTTGATAAACGCCCAGAGCGAATAATAATAATTCGTTCTCATCCATTCTTGGAAAATCTACAAACTCTGGCATATCTGCAGTCATTAAAGTAAACTGAGCACGTCTGCGATTGTAGTTATGGCGTATTACAAGATCTGCCAATCTATTTTGCATATTAATTCTTTGGTGGATAATCTCTAAAATCGCAGCAGCATTTGGATTATCTTCAATCAAAACATGAAAACGATTTATCATCGCCGCTGCTATCTTGAAATAGTCGAACATGCTGGGAAGAGCTCTGTTATTATATACATTTCGCAACAGGCGAAAATCTCTTTTGAACCTGCCGTTGACCACTTCAACCACCCAACGACAGATTGTTACCAGTCTGGACTTATTGGCCTGATCCGTGGTTAGCTGTGTCTCATTTGGATACTTTGTTTGAGGCATATGTTGTACGTATCCGCAAGATTCCAGATTTCTTGCTGAGTCTCGAAAACCACGGTCCAGAATAAAAACATCGCCACTCCTATAAAACCAGTGGAAGGCACTGTCAGCATTATTAAGCATATCATTCATTATATCTGCGTCAGACGTGGTGGCAGCATATGGTCCGTTAACTTCGCTAATGTGTCCATCACAAGAAACCAAGAGGAACGGTTTTAGGAGGTTTCTGTATTTGTGGTGGCTGTAAGATTTGCGTTGGAAAAAATAATTTCCACTTTTTTGCAGATAGATGTACGTGACATCACAAATCGTGATAGCTTTCCTTTCATCTTCTGGGCTCGATGGGTTCCCAAACAGATTGTTGGGTAGAAAAAGATTCCTGTGTGCTACATACTCACGGGAAATATGGTCAAACCCAACATTTAAGGGCACAAAATCTTCTAACAGAGCGTTGCGTCCGATTTTTAACCACGTATGAAACGCTGTTTCGCTACATTTAAAAATATTAGCAAGCCGCGCGTTCGAGTCACCTGTTCTTAACTTGACTAATACTGCCGCCAGTAAGGTTCTTTTATTCTTTTTAGTTCTCAGACTTGGTAAACTATCTAATAATTCAGTAAACTGATCTTGAGTCAGTCCTGTCCAAGTATGAAACTCGGCTGGTGCTATATTTTCATACTGCTCAAAATCAAGTATTTCCTCCGTAATATGTCTTTGTAACATCGACACGATAGTCATTATTTGAGCTGCAGTGAATTACTCAGAAGATTTGTCTTGTACAGGAAGTAAATGCCACAGATTTTGCTCCACGTGTTCATTACAGACACGCGCGCTTTCTGGCACGAAATAGCTGTAGCAGCATACCATGCGAAAAATTATGTTCTCTGGAACACGACGGCGAGATTCATTCGTACAATGTAGGAAAATGCAACTATTTGCGGTGTTTGGAGCACGAAGAAGACCTGGCAAAATCAGCGAAATTGGTCTTGAATTTGGAACTTCCGATGGATCACGGTCTTGATCAGCTTGCTGTTCAGCCTCCCGAATAAGTCGCTGGTGCGTTCGTTCCGTTCTTTGCCAACAGGGTCGACAAATGAAAGCAGTAGGCTCCAACTGTCGAGCTACTATATCTTCTATCACTATTTGGGCGATATCAAGATATTGCATTTCTCTGGAAACCCAATCATATCTTCGCCGATTCTCTGTCGATGCACGGCACGCGATACACAACTCTGCCATGACTCACAGCAATGTTCAAACTTAACAACGGAGATAACAAAAACAAAACAAATCAAAGCACAAGAACTAGTGGGCATCACACAGACATACACGGCAGCGTTGCTTTCGGTACTAAACAATTAACGCGAATGCTAGCAAACGAATGAGCCTGGCGCGATGGCGGTAGTGGTTTAAATGTTATCTTGTCAGAAATAGGTCAAGAACCAATATATTTTACTAAACGATGTTCAAAATAAAAATATGGTAGAACAAATCATTTGTTTTTGTTTATTAAATTCACTGAAAATGTATGAAGATGTTGAATTTTTGAACTCCAATAAAACCAAGGACAATGACCCTACAGCTTTGGTGTCATAATAATAAATACTCACGGGGACAAGTTCTAACGGAATACAGCATATTTTTTATTGGCCGGCACTTTCATATTTGGACCAAAAATGTATGAAATCCCGATGATGTCATTTAGCTTAAAATTACTCATTAATATTCCATTTTTGTACTCTATCCTTATAGTTATTACATGCTATATATATATATATATATATATATATATATATATATATATATATATATATATATATATATATATATATTAGGTCCTTACATACGAATAAAAAACGACTGTTTTCAAAACTCAAATGTATCAGCTAAATTAATTTAAAAATTTGAATTTGGAATTCTAAACCAACGAGGAGATATTTCAGATCAAAGTGGTCAGTACGACAAAACGTTAATTTCATATGTAAGGACCTAATTACTGACGTTTCGTCCTTAGTGTAACTACAACAACGAACTATTCATATCTTTTTTTGCATTGTCGTCGTGAGTTTACATGCATGTCCTACCAGTTCATTCTGAATTTTAGAATAATTTAAATGTTTCTGGTACAAAACTACGCTTTAATCAGAAATTAAATTTTATAAGGTCTCTATTATCTATTTTCTCCTTCAATTATCAGGATCAAACAATAAATGTTATTGTGAATAGGGAGCCAAGTTCAGTACTAACGTCGATCGGAGTTGTCGGCTTCAGTGGCAAAAGAGTTGAGATCTGAACGAGCGCACTCTCTATACACATTTATATTTTTGGAGGGATATCATTAATTAAAAAAATGTTAATGTTAATTAATCAAAATAAATATTGAAAAAAATCCTTTTGATTATTCAAATATATGCTTATCTTCACGCACAATCCCTGACGGGGTAGCCAGAGAGAACAGATCGCCAAGTGTCACGATCCTTACATACCTCTTTCGCTTCTTTCAGATTCATTATCTTCTTCATACATGCACGTCTAGCTATCCGAGTACTCTTGACCCTCCTCTCTTCGAGCAATTTGCTCACATGGTCTTCGAAAGTTAGTCTCGATCTACCTCGACACCTTTTAATATTAACTTTTGCGCTATATATTTTCTTCACCATTCGGTCTTCACTCATCCGCTCATCGTGCCCAAACCATCGAAGCACGCCCTTATTAATTTTTGTGATAAGGTCATCTTTCAAACCTGTCATATTGCGAATCTCTTCGTTTCGCTTTCGGTCGGCCATGGTAACGCCGCACATTTCACGAAGAGATCGTATCTCCACTGCATTCAACTTACTTTTATGCTTCTTCTGGCATACCCAGGTTTCGCTGCCATATAACAAAGTCGGTACCAACAATGCGTTATGTATTGCAAGGCGTGCACTATTCACTACACCTTGCCTTTTGACTAACGCAGTCAGGGCACCATTGAATTTGTTCCCGGCAGCGACACGCCTGTCCACGTCTAAATCATATCTTCCATCCCGGCTAAAAGCTCTCCCTAAGTATACAATTTCATCTACCTGTTCTAGACATTCCTGATTTACCCATATTCCACACTTCATTCTTTCTTCGTCCCTTTCAAATACCAGAACCTTAGTATTATTAGCATTCAAACGGAGACCTTTAATTTCACATTCCTCTTTCATACACGTGACTAATGCCTGCAGTTCTGTCTCTGATGGTGCAATAAGCACTGCATCATCAGCATACAGCAGACAATTTACTTTAATGTCACCCAATTTCACACCCAAACAGCTATCTTTCAGCTTCTGTAAACAGCTGTCGAGATACAGTATGAACAGCCAGGATGACATGACACAACCCTGCTTTACGCCCGTTTGGACGCTAAACATGGGTGACAGGTCATGCCCTACCCGCACACAGGCTTTACAGTCACAGTAAAGTGACTGCACAGCCCTAGCAATCGACCATCCACACCATACCCCGGCAACAGTTCCCACATTTTTTTCCTTACAACCTTATCAAATGCTTTCTCAAGATCCACAAAAGCACAGAAAATCTTCTGGTTAGCAGCCAGAAGCTTCTCCGTGATCATGCGGAGAGAAAACATTTGATCCGTACATCCTCTTCCAGGTCTAAATCCACATTGTGCCTTCCATAGAAATCTTTCCGATTTCTCTTGCATCCTACGTGTCAAAACCTTCGAGTAAACTTTACTTGCTAAACTGGTCAAGCTGATCGCCCGATAGCACCCGCAGTCAAAATGTGAACCTTTACCTTTATATAAAGGCACAATGACTGCGGATCGCCAATCATCCGGGACATCCCCCGTCCGCCAGCACAAATTGCACAGCAGATGAAAGCTGTCCCAGACGCGAGGCCCACCATACATGACCATTTCAGCAGTAACTCTGTCTAGTCCCGCAGCCTTACCACATTTCAAACTTCGAATCGCACGTTCAATCTCTTTCATATTGATAACCTCAGTGTTATCGAGGTCCGGGACTGGCGTACCAGTCACGGCGTCACCCCCGGATCCCTCACTAAGATCATCACACGCATACATTTCTCTATAAATTTCGCTCCATCGCTGCATGACGTCCGATTTTTTAGAGAGGACGTCGAAAAGCTCGAAAGCACTTTGTTCATTCTTAAGGCCGTCACACCACTTCGGGTCCTTCCGACCTCTTTCCAGAAGAGTTTGGAGTTCTCCTTAAAGTTGTGCGACAACCTTTCGTCCGCTTCCATTCTACACCTTTCACGCACTTCCTCAATCAATGCTTTCGTGTGACCTTTCTGCAGCTTATATGTTTCTTTCACCTTCTCCCTCATATCCTTATCATTACTAGAGGCCAAGTAGTCAACCATGCTTTCTTCTTCTTCTTTACAGCTTCTTTCACTTCATCATTCTACTATGCATCTCTTCTTTTACTACTACCTCTTTTTATCGTTCCACACACTTCTTCCGCTGCACTTACCATTCCATCCCTAAGGTTCTGCCATGTTCTTTCCACACATTCTTTTCTGCCATCGATGGTGTCAAGCTTTTCGGCTACCCTCGCATGATATTTGTCCTTAGTATCCGCTTCCTGAAGCTTCCAGCTTCGGATGCGACAGACCGACTGTGGTTCTGTTACTGCCGTCCGGTAGCGCCAACCCGCGAACAGACCCCTGAATCTATTAATCACTAGATAGTGATCCGTTCCCAGGTCAGCACCCCTGAACACTCGCGTATCCATCACCTGTTTTCGTAGTCGGTCATCCACCAGGAACAAATCGATCATACTTCTCTCATTCTTTCTTTCTCTAGTATACATATGGATTTTCTTGTGATTAAACATGGTGTTTATCACAAAAAGACCTTTTTCATCATTAGCATCATTAACCCTTTTATCGCCAAACTTTCCAAGCACCGACTCGTACCCTGGTCGAGCGGTACCAACCCATCCATTCAAATTACCACATACAACAATTCTTTCGTTTCCCCTAACCAAATCTAGAACTTCTCTTACATTCTCCCAAAACTCCTCCAGCTCAGCCCTGGACGACGAAGCTACCAGCAAACCCAGAGAAGTCTTGAGTTCACAACCTTATATTCAGTCATAACATCGACCAACCGAGACGACAGCAGCACCCCCTGGCAGGCGCTCTCGTTCTCCGGGACTCCGGACCATAGAGCTAACGCCCCGCCAGGGAGCTCTTCAGTACCACTGCCCTTCCGTTTGACTCCGACATACACACGACATTTAATTCTCTTTCTTTCATTATTTCGAACAACTCACTCGTCTTATCTCTCATGCCTCCTCTAAAATTCCACATGCCAACTCTGCATTCTGTCCTCCACCTTCCGCCGTGCCGCGCTGTGCGTGATGGGTGGCGGTCCCCATCGCCGCTTTGCGCGCTGTATTCCACACCAACGGGGACGAGCTGGTGTGCGTCGCCTTGGGGGGACGCCCTAACCCTCGTTGGCATGATTGCGCAGCTGTGTAGAATTGAAAAACTTAAACTAAAGACTTAACTTATCATAGTCCTATCTAGTCCTCCCCGCGGTATATTGCCAAGAACGCTGGCTGCGTTTCCTCGCAGAATCACTTGTTGTTGTGTTAATACAGTTCCTTAAGAAACTTTATTACACATGGACTCCACGGACCGATAGTCTCTACAGCAAATAATGGCATAAATATGTAGTCGTCTCTTACTTAGTTCATCTGTCCGGC